TTTTTTTTTTTTTTTTGAGATGGAGTCTTGCTCTGCCACCCAGGCTGCTGGAGGGCAGTGGCACGAACTCGGCTCACTGCAAGCTCTGCCTCCCGGGTTCACGCCATTCTCCTGCCTCAGCCTCCCGAGTAGCTGGGACTACAAGTGCCCACCACTGCGCCCAGCTAATTTTTTGTGTTTTTAGTAGAGATGGGGTTTCACTGTGCTATCCAGGATGGTCTTGATCTCCTGACCTTGTGATCCTCCCGCCTCGGCCTCCCAAAGTGTTGGGATTACAGGCGTGAGGCACTGTGCCTAGGAGGAGAAGAAATCTTTATGCTAAATTCCAGAAGAACTGATGTATAGAAACTGGGTGAAATTTGGTTGTCAGCTCCTTTGATTTCAGGCAACCACCTCAGTCTGGAGGTCTGGCCAACCTCCTAACCCACATACATTTTGTTGTGATTCAGGCAATAAAAAGAGAAGTTACCTTTTTGGTTTTGGTCATAATTCTTTACCCCTGACTTGCAGCGTGTACTCCTGATTTTTAAAAAAATAAAGCCTTGCCTGACAACTTGGATTATACCAGTCAATAATCCAGTTTCTCTAGGATGTAATTTAGTATATCTTTTTAATTTTAGAACTAATAAAAATTTAAATTTAAACAACATACTGTGGGATCTTCCCAGGTTAGGGCAGATCTGTAAGATGTTGCTCATAGGGGACAAAATTTTGTATTGATGCGGCCACGGATCTAAACCAAATGGAAATTCTTACATTTTAAGTTTGAAAGCAATGTGGAGAGAAAATCTGGCTCCTTGCAGTGCTGCACAACATTTTTCATGTCATGGCACACATAGAAAATGCTAATATTTGCACAGCACACTGGGGAAAATGGAAGAGGCTGCCAATCACCCAACCCCCCACCCTGAGGGCTCTGGCTGCTCTGAGAATTGAGGGAAATCAGTATCTAGGCACATCTGCACCCTATTTGCCACATACCAGTTAAGAAGTTTTGCAGTGAGGCAAAATTTTCCTAGTGGCCTAATATTAATCGAGGAGGGTGCTGGAGCTTATCTAATGCTGACAAAAAGTCCGAATATTAAATCCCAAATTAACTAAACCTGGGGCTTATCTAATGCTGAACAAAAGGGCCAAATATTAAATCCCTAAACAGTTAAAAGAAAAAAATGATTGCTAAAGAAGAGCTATGGGGAAGATGATTTTCTTAGGAGATGTCACTTAAAAAGAAATATAACACAGGAGTTAACCTTTTTCAATAATACAGGCAGAAAGATCCTATTTTACCTTACTATGCAATGTCAGCATTGGGCAAACAACTTAAACTTGGTCAATACTATGTGCAATGCAGTTGTATGGCCTTGTGAAGGAAAGACAAACGGTGCTCAAATTTACCAGTATGCTGAGTCATTCTACATTTTCCTTCCAGTTGAGGACAATAAAATGATGTTAGCAGAGAGTCAATAATTGGAACGCAAATATTTCTGAGAGGGAAACACTAGGAAATCTAGAAGACGACATTACCTTAAAAGGTAACAGTAACATTTATGTGGAGAATATTAACAGCTGGGAGAGCAAAAAGAACTCAGGGCTTTAAGCAGAATCTCCTCAGTTCAGTGCCTTTATGTGGGGGGGAGGGTGAATAAGTGAAAAAGAGAGCTAGAAAATGGGTAAATAGAAATTATTTTAAGGAGAGGAATTAGATATCTTTTTAAAACCCCCATTTAAATCCAGTAGCTTTTACCCTTTACTTAGAGAACACTGGTGATGGAATAAATATGTCAGCAGGCCTTGGGCAATTACACCAACAGATAAGAGAGATCAAAACAAGTATTATTCAGGCTGTGAAATTTTGGACAAAAAAAATAAAGGGTCACAGGATTCTGCAAAAAAAATTTAAACTCTCATAATATATAAATTAAGTTTAAAAATAACTTAATTGAAGCCATTACCTTATCAAAAAACCTACTGAGCTTGACAGCATTGGAAGAACCTGCAGCTAAGTACCGTGGATTTGTGCAGTCCTAGAAGATAAAACATAAGATCCACAAGTGAAAGTTAGGAAACCCAAGCTCTTGGCTATTCATAACTCATCCTGTTGCACATTTCTATAGGCATAATACTGTTAGGTATAATACTCTCATAAAATATTCAAATAATTTTCAAATTATGGTGCACAAAGCAAGGAGGAAAGTACTAAAGGAAAATACGGTCACTTAATCTTTGTCATTTAAACAATTTTAGAGTATACCAAATCAATGTATTCATCATCAAATAATTCACAGAGGAAGACAAGATTACTAATATTTTACTAATAACAAAACCAAGGTACTAATGGAATGACCTACCTACATTTACCCTGAAAACCAGAGAGACAGCCATGAAAAACAGTAAGCGTTTCACTTTTGTACTCGTTATTCACCAGTGCTCAACTAATTTAGTACCATGCAGTTCATATGAACTACAGAAAGCAGGAAAATAAGGATTTAGAGGCGCAAAGAACAAACAGAACAATTGCCAAGGATTTCTCTTTGGATGCAAGGTACTACATCTTTTGGTAGGCCACAAAGATATATTATTTTTGGTAATAAACATCTACTACTATCGTTTGATAATAAAGATATATTACTACTCTTGGATGGAAGTTTTTTATAGGAAAAAAAAAATGGGCCCAGAAGGGACAGAACGATCTGGAACATTAATCATTACAATAACTTTAAAACCTTAAAAGGCCTACTATTCGATGGAATCCCAGTGTAGCTGTTTTGTTTTTTGCTTGTCACTATTGACTTGTCACCTTGTGAGATAGAGTACTTAGCTACCATGTAAGCTCCTTTGCAAGCATGAAATTTTATCTTTTAGCTATACACCCTCTGTGCCCCTAGAAATTACTAAAATTACTGTTGTTACATTTATTCTGTTTTTGTAATTTCCAGGCCCACAGGATTCCTTTCTAATGAAGCCTCCTATTTTATTCATATGCAACATTCCAAGGCTCACATTTTAAATTTTGGCCAGAAATTATAATACATTCTCCAAAACTACAAAAAAGAGAGGCTACAACAAAGTTGTCAAAGATCACAGAGTACTAGAAATCAGGGGTCTTCAAAGCCAGCAAGCTCTAAATCGGAATGTCCATTCCAACATTTCTACTCTGTGTAACATTGGTTAGGTAACTGAACCTTTAAATTTGGGTTTACCGATTTGTGGAATGGGGATAACAATATTTTATCTGATGGGATTTTTGTGAAAAATTAAATAATCCATACCTGGATACAGTGGGTAGTAGAACATTAGTCCTTCTCTCTTCAATCTAAGAAAATGCTAGCAGAGTGAATTTTCAAGCACAACAAGCACTTACCATAATAAAGATAATTCCACATATGGATTACATAGACTGAAACATCATTGCACAAACTATGGTATTTGAAATAGTGTTTGAACACATTTCTACAGCAATTGGGGCATATAAGAGACAAACCTTAGACCTGTGGTAGAAACGTTTTATAAAATAGATATTGATTAGCTAGTCATCAGAATGTCAAAAGTTTGAGACAATTCTAAATAGAGCTGAAGTACTAAATACAAAAACTAAAGCAAACAAAAACACACCCCCAAAACCTTAATTCTATGGTACCATAATTTCAGGCTGAGTAGCCTAGAGAAACACTATGATTTTTGGGATGAGAAATTTAGTGCTGAAAAAGAGTCATCTGCCATTTATCATGGCTGAGGGAGAAGTCTGAAAATTAATAGCTCCAAATAGCTTGTCTGAGCTTGAGAAAGGACTATTAACCAGGGAAGATACTTCAATATGATCACTTCAAAGTAAATACATAACAGAGAAAATTGTTTACGGGGTACAATAAGCCTAACAGGATTTTAGAAAATAAGTAATCATTCACCTATTTATAATTTAAACAATTTGCATTTATTCAGGCAGTTATTTATTAACTTTGATTCCACCTTTGATGTATACATTTGTTAATTCTTACTTTTCTACAGTTTCAAGTAAATTTATACAGTAACTGATGTTAGCACTAATATTGTTACATTAGTTTTTATTTGAGGCTTTATATTTAATTGCTGAATCTTTTTGATGGCTATTTCTTTTTTAAACTCTCATATTCAATCTTCCTCCTCATTTTTTCCTCTCTTCATTCTCCGAACCTCTCCTAGTGTTATTTGTGCTGTGTTCTTGAAGCTGTACACTGATAAAGCCCAAAAACATGTTATATTTGAACTCTTTGGGGACTGTGTGTGCTGAAGTCTCACTGAGTACCTTTACATCTGACTTACAGTTAAAAGAAGGCCTTGGCTTTGTAAGGCAAGTAGGAATAACACACACACACAGACACACACAGACACACAGGCAATTATCACAGAAACCCACAAGCACTAGAAACAGATACATTCTAAAATATATTAAAAGTAAGCACTGGAACAAATTAAGTGTTTTCAATGGTAAATTTCCGTTTGGAAATAATGTTCAAAGTAATCTCAGCACTTCTTCAACAAGAATATTGTATATCTATATAGCAAGAATCCTTTGGAATATCATGGTTCAGTGCTGACTACCTGGGGTATGCACATCAATATTCCATTGTGGCAGCTGAGAAAAATAAGGGGCTCTCCACTGCAAAGCAGAATGTAAAAAACAATGGAATGACAGGCAGAAGCTGGGGGTAGAGGTGGGGCTGAACCAAGCAGTGTTCACAAACGTTGATTCACAGAACAAGGCATCAGAATCACCTGAGTTATTTGTTAAAACTACAGATTCCTGGTCCTCCTGCCAGGCTTTATGAATAAAAAGCTCCAGCTGTGGGGCAGTTATTCAAAATTTTCCATAGGTACTATTGGTAATATAAATACACAATCCGATTTGGGTAACTGTTGGTCTAGATGATTTCTATGAGATTTTTCAGCCGCCAAATTCTCAAGGTGAGTTGAAGGATTAATTAAGTGGAAAAGAGGCTTAACTGTAGAGCACAGGCTCTGAATCTGAATACCCCATTTGACCTGGGTAACCTTCCTTGGTCTTGTTACCTCTCTCCTTCTTGTCTTCATCATTAAGAAGAGGACAGTAATAGTATCTGTCTTATAGAGTTGATTGTGAAGATGATGCATGTGAGATCATATATGTAAATAACTAAAACAGTTTTCAACCCCTAAGTGCTCAACAAATGTTGGTCACTAGTACTATTACACCACCACCACTGCATTTCTGGAATGCCAGTGCACAGTTGCAGAAATCCTATTTGTGAACAACAACATGACCATGACTGAAGTTGCTGTCCAGGATCTTTTTCTGGGATCCTAACAGGCTTATATGACAACCATTTCTTAGCTTTTTTAAGCACTCAGTTCTAATTGAGCTAGTCATCTCATCAAGGGACTCAATCCTCTATATATGCATAAGTGTACATAAATTAGTCCTTATGAAGCACTCCTAGTTTAAAGTTTGTAATTTTTTCATGTATCTGTTAGGTTGCCCTTTAAGGTAAAATTTGTAGTTTAAGAAGCTAAGAGGCTTTTTACAAGCAATAATAATAAACTTATAATGCCACTTTAATCAATTTATTTTAATTTTGGTGTGATTTTTAAAAACTTTCTCAAGAAAAAGTCCATTGGCCAGGTGCAGTGGCTCATGCCTGTAATCCCAGCACTTTGGGAGGTCAAGGCGGGCAAATCCCTTGCAGTCAGGAGTTCAAGACTAGCCTGGGCAACATGGCAAAACCCCATCACTACTAAAAATATTTTAAAAATTAGCTGGACATGGTGGTATATGCCTGTAATCCCAGCTACTCGGGTGGCCTAGGCATGATAATTGCTTGAACCCAGTAGGTAGAGTTTGCAGTGAGCTGAGATCACGCCACTGCACTACAGTCTGGGCAACAGAGCGAGACTGTCTCAAAAAAAGAAGCCCATGATTTAAATTATTCATAGAATAAAGTTGGAACATTCCAACAGATCAACATAAAAGGCTGAAGTGACTGTGCACATCTCTCAGTCTAGATATGTTGATTCCAATCTTGACTACATTTTGGACTAGAATCCAAAAAGCCTGATTTCAAGTATAAAGTTTCTTTCACTAGAATATATAATTTCAACATGTCTTTAGTTTTGTCTTTACGTGATAATAATACAAGCATGCATTAGTGAAAATACACACCAAATTAATTTCTTCTGGATTGAAATCCTCAGCCAGGAAAGCAGTCCTAGTTAAAACTTCATGGCGCTTTGTTTCATGAATCTGGTCCAGTTTAGTCCCTATTACCAACAGCGGTATTTGGTTATCAGCAAACTGTTCTCGATCATAATCCCTGTGATAAATAATAATGAAGAGGTGAAGAGAATTTACCTTTCTGATGTAGATGTGTAATATTTAAATGCAACTAACTTAAACTATTTTACTGAAAATTAACTGATTTTTGCTGCCTTCACCTATAAATCCACTTTCCTTCCAACTTCTTCCATCTACTTGTTCTTTTATCAATCCATCCTCATCATCTATCAAACTCCAGCTATTCATCTAACTTCTCAAAATTTGGTCCCATGTTTTTATTGAATGTTGAATAATACTGAATAATTGAACAACTAAGTGCCCATCAAGTATATTATAGTCACTGGACTTGACTTCCAATGTAGCTCTGTCTTCTAAGGCTAACATAACAACTCAGGAATGTTTCAGAGTAGAAGCAGAGAGTGGATTTAAGTCTCTGTGTAGCGAAAACCCAGAAGCCTAGCATGGTGTGCTACAAGACAAAATGGCAAGCTTCTTGGGTACATTTTGGGGTACGCATTAACTCTGTATCTACAATACACATTTCTGTCTGAATAGTAAAGAAATAAGAAGAATAAAAAAATAGAAATAAGGAAGGTGAAACCCAGAATAAATCAAATATAGGTGATACTATAGCCTGGGAAAGGTGAGTTAAACACATGGAAATGGAAGGAAACAGCTGAAATGCAAAATGAATAGTAAAAGGAAAGAACTTAGTACCAAGTAGTTGTTTCCTGAAATGAGAGCCATGGGAGATAGAGGACGGGCAATAAGAATCACTTAGGGTTAGTGGCCTTGGATCACTGGCTATTGTAATCCTTATTTTTTAAAAAAATTATTTATCCAAAGAACAGAGTGGTGATATAAATTAAACTTTTCATTACTGAAAAGAACACAGAGGCCATTGCTGTTGAATTAATTTAAATTCTACTCACATATTAGAAATAAAGCAGATTTGGATTTCTGACACGTCATAAGCTCAATTTACAACAGTCAGCAAAATCTGGTTGTGTACAATTTATGACAGTAAATCAATATTGCATAATCCAATCACTATAACCCAGTTGAGCAAAGCTTTTTTTCTTCCTTTAACACTACCTTTTCTTTCTCTTAGAGAAATTCTAAATTGGGGTAGGGGCCAAAGTTACTAAGTATTTATGTCCTTCACAATAATCTTACAGAGCCTCAACAAACTGTTCAGCCTCAGAACACAACTGTTTTAAATATATAACCTCCCATCTCACAAAAATATTACCATTCTATTTATTGCATCAAAGTCAATAATAGCATGATCAAGACCTTTGATTATTCATACCAACAGCAACCCTAATCAAAGAGACATGGTTCAAAGCTGCAATTCGCTTTGTTAGGGAATAAAGTTTTGAGCGTGTCTTTTGTTTAGGACTGTTTCCTTCTGTCTCACATACAAATTTTTGGATATCTTCTATCAAATACCACCTTTGATGTACATACATCTCTCACATAGTCTTGCACAATTCCTTGCACATTGACACATATAAAGCATACATACATAGTTTGCTCTCTTATTTCTCTTTTTAGGTTTCTTTTTATCTTTTTCATAAAATCTTGCAGCATCCAATTTAAAATTTAATCTTGAAATCTTTTCTGGTAAACTTCTGAAGGACTTTATCATGGATGGATAAGGCTGATAACTCCTTAACATCACAGAGAGACACACAGCCAGGTATCATATTACATGCGTAATACTGGGTGGAAAAATAAAGACAAAAAACTTGCATCTTTCAGATCACTATATTTAATTATCACTTCAGAGAAGATTTAGAAATCAGAGAAACAAGTTTAAAAGACAATACAGGGAGACAATCAGCAAATCCAGAATACAGGAAACTGTACAAGACAAACAGCCATCTTCTTCTACAAATAAACTGCTAGGAGGTTGGAAAAAAAACAACTAAGAAGGGAGAACCTAAGATTTGACTCTTAAGAAACGAAATACAATCAGAGGACTTTATTTAGATACTGTTTCAAAAAAATCAACTACAACATTTATGAGACAATTGGGGAAATTAAAATAATATTTGGTTATTAAAGAATTATTATTAAAGTTTTGGCTGTGATAATTATATGGTATCATGTTAAAAAAAAAAGCCCTTATGTTTTGAAGTATATATGGATGAAATGATATGATGTTTTAACATTCGGTTCAAAATAATCCAGTTGAGAGTGGGAGAAGATAGAAAGTAGGTAGAGATATGGATGAAACAAGACTGGCTATATGTTGATAATTGTTGAAACTAGGCGACAGGTATATGGGAGTTCATTTTCCATTCTTCGTATTTACATACGTTTAAAATTTTCTATAATAAAAAATTAAAATTTATTGTGGTAAAAACCACATAACATAACATTTATCTAAATTGTTTAAATATGGCTAAAAACTCAATCTGATATAAAAGATATATATGCTAAGCAGTCTTGCTCCTACCACTGCACCCATCCACCCATTTCCCCTGGCCCCCTATAGGTTACCATTTTTGTTAGTTTCTTATTTATCTTTTCACTGATTCTTTATCCAAATATAAATACATATTCTTATTTCTTTCCTTTCTTATACAATAGAAGGTATATGATATATATTCTCTGCATTTTGGTTTGTTAAACCTAATAATGTACCCTTTGTAGATCTTTCTAATTTAGTTCATAGAGATCTTCCTGATTATTTTTCAAATGTTGAATACTACTCCAGTATGTGGATATGTCATTATTTAGTCTAGGAATCTTTTGTTGCTCGGACACTAGGGTTGTTTCCAAATCTTTTGATGCGATAAAATAATGCACCAACAAAGCACACCAATGTATTAAGGTTGTTTTATACATTTGCAGGTTTATCTATAAGATCAAAATGAAGCTGTACTGTCAAAATGCAAATGGATACAGAATTTTTACTGAATTCCCTCACACAAATGCAGATTTCTTTCTGATATGAATATGTTGTCTCCTAATCCTAAATTTAAAGATAAGTTTCTTAAGTAGAAATTTTAGTAGAAAATAGAGAACAAGCTAGGTTAATGAAGACATCAGTGATGAAAGGAATTGAGATAGGAAACAAGAAATATCAACTAGGCTTTGAAATATAGGTTTTAAATTAGTTGTGCTTATTCTTTATTAGGTATTGCAGGAATCTACATATATATACTCAAACTTATATTACATTTAGGCTTCACATACAATTAGACTTCCACACAGAAAACAAAGTCTTTGAAAGACTTGCTTCAATCAAAAAATAGAAAATGGGGTTCTGTTCTAGGTAACACAGAATAAGCAAACTCTATTTTGTCTTTCCCAGTGAATGCAGCTAAAAAACCTGGACAGGATGCATGAAGTGGCTATTTGAAGACTCTGAAAAATTCATAGTGAGCATCTTGAGGAAGACCGCAATGTGAAGAACCATTGAATTAGCAGTTCCCTTCCATATCCCCTTGTCTGAATGCAACTAAGCTTAAAACTCAGAAGTGCGAACAGAAAACTCCACAAGGCGGCCTGCAGTTCTGGCTCATGAAACAAGAAAGGAGGCTCCTGAATACTTGGAGATAGCGTAGAAATACAATATTTTTCCTTCTGTTGTAAGCCAGCCTCTGAGCAATTTCATGATAGTTGTGGCAAAGGCAGTAACACAAGCAGAATGCTCAAAAGCAACAACAGTCCCCAACCTTGTTGGTACCAGGGACTGGTTTCATGGAAGACAATTTTTCCATGGACAGGTGTTTCAGGATGAAGCTGTTCCACCTCAGATCACCAGGCATTAGATTCTCATAAGGAGCCTGCAACCTAGATCCCTCACACGCACAGTTCACAATAGGATTCATGCTCCTATGAGAATCTAATGCCTCTGTTGATCTGACAGGAGGCGGTAATGCCCACTAACCTGCCACTCACCTCTCACTGTGTGGCCTGGTTCCTAACAGGCCATGGACCAGGGGTTGGGAACCCCTGCTTATGAGTACAGAGGAAGGGAAATTTTTCTGATTGATAGAACTGTATCTCAAGATGATGGGGCAAATTCCCATTGCTTTTATTCTTTGTCCTTCTACCACTTGGCCCTGGCCATAGGTGCAGTTGTGCAAGTGCATGAGAAAATTTGGCTTGGGGACCAAAAAAGGGAGCCCCAGCAAATCACAAAGTATGGCAGAGACTGCAGAGAGGGTGAAGTGTGAGAAAGCAACCCCATGAAGTAGTTCATGAATGCCTGAGCTCGTTGTCAAAGCTGTGCATGCATGGATTTGATCCTCCTTAGCATACCAAAGACACTGAAAACTGAAACAACAGAGATAACACCCAAGTCACATACTGAGTGTTGCACAAATATAAAATAAGTGAAACCATATAAAGTATGCTCTTAGATCATGATAAAATTAAGCTAGAAGTCAACAGTAAAGAATAACTTGAAAGCCTCTAAATACATGGAAACTAAATAACACATTTCTAAACAGCCCATGGGAAAATCTCAAGAAGTATTAGAAAATATTGTGAACTAAATGAAAATAAAAGTAAAATATTCAAACATTTGCAGGATGCAGCTAAAGCAGTGTTTAGAGGGAAATTTATAGCATTAAAATGCTTGCATTAGCAAAAATGCAAGGTATCCAATCAGTAATCTAAGAAGCTATAAAGAGAGAACAAAATAAATCAAAAGCAAGCAGTAGGAAAGAAATAAGAGCAGAAATCAATTAAACTCTGTACGGAAAAACAATAGAGAAAAATCAACGAAGCCAAAAGTTGCTTCTTTGGGAAAAAAAAATCAATACAATTGATAAACCTCTACAAGTCTGACAAGAAAAAGAGAAACATAAAATACCAAAATCAGAATGAAAAAGGTCATATCACTACAAACCGTGAAACTATCAAAAGGCCAATAAACAAATACTATAAACAACTCTATTGATATAAATTCAAAAATTTAATGAAATAGATGAATTCCTTGAAAATCACAAACTACTAAAACTCATCCAAGATGAAATAGATAACTTGAACAATCCTAATTACTAAAGAAGTTGATTTTGTGGTTAAAAACCTTTCAAATAAGAAACCTCCAGGCCCAGATGGTCTCTTGGTAAATTCTGCCAAACCTTCAAAGAAGAAATAACACCAAATATACGCAATTTCTTCTAAAAAATAGAAGAGGAAGGAATACTTCCAATTCATTCTATAGGGCCAACATTATCCTCACACTAAAACCAGTCAAAGACATTATGAGAACAGAAAACTACACACTAATGCTTGTCATGGATAAAAATCCTGAAGAAAATATTAGCAAATCAAATCCAGCAACATATAAAATGAGTAATATACCATGACCAAGGAACGGAAGGCTGGTTCAATATTTGAAAATCAGTGAATGTAATCCACCAATATTGAAAATCAGTGAACGTAATCCACCATACTAACAGCCGAAAGAAGCAGCCACATGTCCATATCAATTGATGCAGAAAAGGCTTTTGACAGAATTCAGTATCTGTTCATGATATTAATAAAACTATCAGCAAATTAGGGATATAATGAAATTTTCTCAACCTGATAAATAGTGTCAACCAAAAAACCTAAAGCTTACATCATACTTAATAGTGAAATGACTGCTTTCCCCCTAAGATTGTGAATAAGACATAGATATTCACTCTTATCACTCCCAGTTAGTACCCTTTTGGAAGTTGCTGCCAGTGTGATAAGGCAAGAAATAAGACAACAAGCACACAGATTGAAAAGGAAAAAATAAACTTGTCTATGTAGAGCATCCTAAGGATTTTACTAAAAACTCCGGTCACAGGATACAGGTCAGCACTCAAAATCAATTCTGCTTTTTTATACTAGCAATGGACAATTTGAAACTGAAGTTTAAATATACCATTTATGGCCAGGTACAGTGGCTCATGCCTGTAACCCAGCACTTTCAGGTGGATCACCTGAGGTCAGGAGTTCGAGATCAGCCTGGCCAAGATGGTGAAACCCTGTCTCTGCCAAAAATACAAAAATCAGCCAGGTATAGTGGCACATGCCTGTAATCCCAGCTACTTGGGAGGCTGAGGCACAACTGCTTGAACCTGGGAGACAAAGGTTGCAGTGAACTGAGATCGTGCTACTACACTCCAGCCTGCCTGGGCAACAGAGCAAGGCTCAGTCTCAAAACAAAACAAAACAAAAAACAATTTATAATAGCTTCAAAAATATTAAATAATTTGGTATAAATCTAATAAAACATGCACAGGATATGTATGATGAAAGCTACAAAATGCTGATAAGAGAAATAAAAGAAGATCTAAATAAATTTAGAGATACAGTGTGTTCATGAACTGGAAGATGCAACAGAATAAAGATATTAATTCTCTCCAATGTGATCAATAGGTTTAACGCATTTCTAATAAAAGTCCAACCAAAATTTTTGTCAATATAGACAAGCTGATTCTCAAAATTTATGTGGAAAACAAAACTATAATAGCTAAACAATTATGAAAAAGAATAAAGTAGAAGGAATCATACTGCTCAATTTTAAGACTATAATCAAGACAGTGTAGTACTGGTGAAGGGACAGACACATAGATCAATGGAACAGAACTAGAGTACAGAAATAGACTCATACTAATATGGTCAACTGATTTTTGGCAAAGGAGCAACAGCAATTCAATGGAGAAAGGATATCTTTTCAATAAATGGTGCTGGAATAATTAGACATTCATATGCAAACATTAACTTCAACCAAAACCTCACATCTTATACAAAACTAACTTAAAACAGATCATGAATCTAAATGTAAACTTACAAAACTTAAAATGTTTTATATAAATGGTTTACTATAAAAATGTAAAACCATATAATCTGTAGAGGAAAACATAAGAGAAAACCTGCATCATCTAGGATTAGGCAAAGAGTTCTTAGACATGATATCAAAAGCACAATCCACAGAAGAAAAAAAGAGTAATCAGACTTCATCAAAATTAAAACTATTGCTTTGTGAAAGATACTGTTAAAAGGAAAAGATAATCTATACACTGAAAGAAAAATCTTTGCAAATCAAACATCTTACAAAGTGTTACGCAGGGGAGTACATTCCTGTGATTGCTGCAACCTTTCAAACCAATTGTGAAATAATTCTGGGCTTACCCATTTGTTACCAAGACCCCAGTGGGCACCAAATCCCTGTTGAGAGCTTCCAATGACCAACGACGCAAGTTTTGGGAGGACTTCTTATTTGTTAAGTCGTGTACGAAAATAATACCTAAAATAATCAGAGAAAAAAATGTTAGTCCCTTAACAATTCCTCTTCATTTCACAATTGGCCAAATGAAGCTTAGTAAACAGAAGCATTAGGTTGCTTAATGAATCTAGCATTTTAGTATGACTAACAACTCAGACACAACTATTTTAAAATTTCCTCTACAAATATTTATAAATAATTAGTCATAAACTTTTCTCTGTCAGTTTTATAACTCTTTATTTTACAAGGGCTGATGAAATACCATTAAACTTTTAGCAGATCTTTACTTCATTCAACACTTCTTGAGTACCTACTCCATGCCTGTTCCTACTTGTAGAACCACTTCATTAATCAAGAGAATCAAAACTACTTCAAGTACATATGAAATTATTCATCCAAAAAGCTATGTTGTTTCTTCACTGTACATAGTACTGCCATAGATACCAGTACATACATATATTATTTATACTCATTACTTATACTCACTAAAAATAATACTAAGTAATGAAAATCTACTAAAATAGTACTGATTTGATACAATTGCTATTCTTTAGCTGACAAAATAGTGTCCTGTAGATCACCTGAGGCTAATCTACTCAAATGTCTAATTTTCTAGTTCTTTGAATAATATTTAGTCATGTAAGCTTCCTACCTGTAAGAGATTTAGTTATGAGAGCAAAAGAAATATGCCACTACAAGAGAGTGGGTGGAGACATTAAACAGTAAAGAGGTATGAATAGTAGAAAGTACATGCACGGATTTCGATAGACTGAGAAAAATAACAAAATGTAATGAGGCCCAGAAATACAATAAAATACAACTGAAGAGAATCAATTAAAATCCTAGATAGAAAGGTAAATCCGGGAATTAATTATTACAGCAAGATATAGACAAAAGAGGAAAACCTTTGATGCCCACTAGAATTTAGGATATCATCTTATGGTCAAAACACTATAGGTTTCAAACTCCCAACCCTTTTCTATATTACCTAGATTGTGAATAGGACATGAAACCGATGATCCCTCCATCTTCAAGAGGTGGTATGTGTCAATTTGAAAAAGAAAAGCAGAAGAGGTAGAATTAGCTGGCTTCTACAGTTTTTACAGCCATCTGTGTAACTAAAGGGCTTGTACAAGCTATAGTTGAGTTGTTCCAGCCAGCTTAGATAAACCTGCATCTCTTCTGGTGTCTGAAACTAACAGAGATCCGACACTTGCCCTAATATCCAATTGTACCCACTCTTCCTTCCTCAATGAGGGGTTTTAACCAGCATCAGTGGCACAGATTTAAAAAAAGGAAAAAAGAACTCCCATTAAAGACCACAGCTAATACTTATTCAGTACTTATGTGCCAAATATTGTGCTTTACATGTGTTACCTAATTTAATTTTCAGAACAGTCCTATGAAGCAAGAATTATTATTATCATTATACACAAGAGAAAACTGAAGTTCAGAGAAGTTGAGTAACTTGTCCTTGGGCACATGGTAAGTCAGAATTTGCACACAGGTAATCTGACAGTAAAGACATAAAGACTAGTGGTAAGCAGAATAAAATCTCATTTTAGGGCAAACAACTGGCATATATTTTCTGCCTTTCCTTTTCCCCAGGTTATAAACATGGCAAAACTACAGGTGAGAATTTTGGACGGGGGAGTGAAAGGATTACAAAGGCCTAAGTTGGCTATTAGATGGACAGGGAAAACTTTATTGAGGATCTTTAGGTAAGACTTTTGAGCTTTTAAGGGCATTTGAGTACCCTTTTCCCCTATTCTTTCTCTTTCATTTGGGCTGAGAGTTCTTGCTTTGCAGAATATGTGCTAGAAGAATCAAGGCAGGGCTGAGATGAAAGGAGTCAGGGTGATGCCAAATGGTAATATATCTTAATCTCAAGGGAGAGAAGTAAAGACACTTCATTATTTCCTTCCGAGATTACTAGCCTAGGTTATCAGAGAGGGAAGAATGTAGGGTATTAAGGGATGAAAGTTATTGCTAAGAATATGGACTGTGTATTTGGATAGAGTGATCCTTATGTTCAGTTTCTTAGGAAACTAAGGTTGGTAGATGGAATAAAGAACTTTGAGTGCTTCTACCAGGAGGAATGTTCCAGAGCTAAGGTGAAAGAACACAGAAATAGGTTTTTCAATAAATGTGATTTTTTTTTTTTTTTTACTTTTAAGAAATGGAAATATATCTCAGTCTTATCTGTAAAATCAACATGGATATATGCAATTCTTTCAATAACATTAAAGGAGACAAATCACTAATGAATAGTAGATATAGAAGAGATAAACAAATATGGATTAGATGGATTTCTTCTTCAGCACTTACAAGTTCACAACTCAGAATTCCATAGCTTCTAGGATTTGAGTGGTATTTATCTCTATTATTTAATTTTTATAAATAAATTTTAATAAATTTTAAAATAAATTTTAATAGCCTAAGTTGGCTATTAGATGGACAGGGAAAACTTTATTGAGGATCTTTAGGTAAGACTTTTGAGCTTTTAAGGGCATTTGAGTACCCTTTTCCCCTATTCTTTCTCTTTCATTTGGGCTGAGAGTTCTTGCTTTGCAGAACATGTGCTAGAAGAATCAAGGCAGGACTGAGATGAAAGGAGTCAGGGTGATGGCAAATGGTAACATATCTTAATCTTAAGGGAGAGAAGTAAAGACACTTCAGTCTCAAAAATACCTAAACATTGAAGGTGTTATATATTCACACTTCTCTGTGCCAGATCAGATAGATATCTTACTTTGACAAGTAATTTTACTGATACAAGTATAAGTCTAAACTAGGGTTCACTTCCCTCTCTTTCTCTAAGATGTCACCTCACACTATACTAGTCTTATTATTGTTTTTCTTATTTATATGCATTCTATTAATATATACCATTATATATACTTTTCTGCACGATGATGGCATATATTAAGGTCATCTTATAACTGTATTTTGTCTCATTTATGAATGCTTTGTTTCTTTATTAAGACTGTGACATTTTCAGATAGAATTCTGAGCTAAATAGGATATGAGTCTGAACTGACACATCTCATTCTATATCCTATAATATGTATCCAGTGAAAAGAACCTTCTCTACGTCTTTTTGTAGAATCTACAACACCTCATGATATGGGAAGACATCAAAAGAGGAATATAAGGAATGAACATACTGAATAAATGTAATGCTTACCTAATATTGAGTGAGATCTAAGCACAGCATAAATGAGGTCTATTAATGGCTATGCATTTACCAGGGGGGAAATGCCAACTCCTTTGGTATATTAATCAAACAGAAGTTGGAATTATGTTTCACAGTAAAAACAGGTTTTAAAAATGAATTTTTACAAAGACTAAGAAAGAAACTCTATTGGCAAATCATAGGTATAAGCAGTTTAGTTTCTTGATATAGAGTAGGTACTCCTTAGGAAATTATGTCCTATATTACACACCTCCATCTGGAAGTCTGCTCCAGGTATTTGAATATTTATAACTGGATAAAATTTCTGCACCCATAAAGACTCCCTTAAGCAGCTCTTCATAAGTAGCTAAGAAAGAGCCTTATGGCTCTTTCTAAGGGGCAAATGAACGAAATCCTTCTATCTCTGTTATATCTGGCTTAAGACTATGAGAATCCTATGGTCCTACTGTACTTAGTCAACTCACTGGAGAGATAGCACCCCCAGAGGACAACATTTTAAGTTCCATGTTTTATGTCAAGTATCAAAAATATGATTTTATTTCTCAATATTTAGTTTATGACAATAATATAAATAGAAACACTTAAGACAAAGCACAGGTTCAATGTTCCGAATTAAATTAGATGGCTACAATGTAGAAACACAAACTGGAATGTACTATGCAGATTGAAATCAAGGGTTGTGAGTACATTACATTTTTCTCAAATTAAGATGAGTCTGGCATGCTATGGCATTCCATATCAGATGATCTATACTCTTAGACCATTAATATAAGATAGAAATTAAAAAATGCTTTACCATTTACAGAGTTGTAGAATACTGCTCTTGTGCTTTTCACACTGCTGGCACTGCCCACAGAGCCTCCAACATCCCATAATTCTATGTAGTAGGTCTTCTCTTCTGGGGTTCCTTCTTTGTAATCATGAACCTAACAAATCAATTAAAATAATACAGCCACTAAACAAACTAGTAAGTACCCTTATTCCAGTTTAAAGCATTTCAGCATCTTACTCTGAGTTTCTGATTGCTACTTCTTATCTTTTAAGCTTACTCTCTTTAATACTTTAATAATTTTTACTCCAGAGGACCTTTTTGTTAATTGATCTTAACATCTTTCACAGCTCTCTGTTCTACTTCCAAAGCCTTACCACCCTCTTAACTAAGCATACATTCCATGATCCATCATTACAGTCACTCCTTTGCCCCTCTCTCATATTGCATTCATCTGACAAAATTCCAGTCTGGGTTATATCCACCTTTTGCCCTCTTCCATGTCTACAACCCAGCAACCGAATGTGGAGCTCAGAAAAATACGCATTCAAGATAAATGGATTCTTTCTAAATTTAAGTGTACCTTTGGAGCTGTCTTTTAATCAATTCCACAGTTAATTTACCATTTTTCTCTTCCAGAGAACTATTTCATACTTATTATTCTTTTTAAACTTCCAGTATCTCTTCCCCATCCTCAATCACAACTAACTTTGCTTCCTACTGCAGAAGCAATTAGAAAAGAACTTCTACAACCTGTTCTTCCTGTACTTATCCACCTTCCTCCATCTGTGCCCATATAATCTGCTTTCTTTCTTGTTGTTTTCTTAGGCTGCCTGTGTCCCTAAGGCTAAATCCTCTCTCTATGCATGAGATCCCATCCCCAGTTTCTTGCTCAAAGATGTAATTCTACCAGTTCTCCCCTCTCTCCCTTATACCATTAAATTTTCCTTCTCAGCTGGATAATCCTCACCACACAATTCAATTCTCAGCATACAAACATGGCATAATTTTCCTCATCTAAAAAAAATCCTTCTCTTGACCTCAAGTCCTCTTCCAGCTACCATGCCACTTTCCTTTTCCTTTTCACAGCAAAAGTCCTCCAAAGAGTTGTCTATTCTTGTGGTAATTCTTTTCTTCACATTATCTTTTGAACTCATTTCTATCAAACTTATGCCCTAATGACCCCAATGAACTACTCCTTGTCAAGGTCACCAGTGACCTCCACATTGCTAACTCCAATGGTCAATTAACAGTTTTCATTTTACTCCACCATTTGATCCACCTAGTCACTTCTTGTGTCTTGCAATATTTTTTCACCTGGCTTCTGGGATATCACACTCTTCTAGTTTTCTTCCTATCTCATTGGCTAGTGCTTTTCAGCTTCCATTTGGGTTCTTCTTCTCTCTCTGATTTCTAATTGCTAATGTGTCTCAAGGTTTAGTTCTTCAGTCTCTTTTCTTTTCTATCAATACTTGTTCTTGTGGCAATTTCATCTAAAAGGCAGTTTTATTCTTCCAGTTACTTGGGCCAAAAACTTAAGATTTATCCTTGACTCCTTTCATATTGCATTATTGCATTTGTCAACAAGTTTTGTTGCTTTGACTTTAAAAAAATATGGAAAAATCTGTTCATTTCTCCCTATCTCCACTATTACCACCCAGGTCAAAGTCTGTATCTCCTTTCCTGAATTGATGTAATGGTCTCTAACTGATCTCCCTACTAGAGGCATCCCCCAACCTCCCTGTTTGTCTTCCATACAGTAGCTAGAGTGATCATTTTAAAATACAAGTTATATCATATGCCCTTTTACTCAAAATCCTCCAATGACTTTCTCACTCACAGTTATCTCCAAAGACTCTCTTTTCCTTATGTCTAGGCTCTACAGGCATTTATTGCCTGTACTGTATAACTATTCAGAAACAAATTATGATATGTGGCAAGCAGATTAAAGTATGCTGGTTCCTGAGTACACATTGGCATCTTCCAAGAATTAATTTTTTTTTTTAAGAAATATACATGCCAGTCTTACTGAATCAGGACGTTTGGGATTAAATACTAGGCATGTGTATTTTGAACAATTCTCCAAATGATTCTGCTGTAACCCCCTCAGTAAGAACTGCTGCTTTTATAGAATGGGACTATTCTGGTATCAGGAGGCCTAGATTCTACTCCTTGATTGCCACTGATTATCCTTGATATCTTGGAGCCTCAGTTCCTTTGCCTATAAAATGAAAGAGTTGTATTACGTGATTTCTAAATATCTACTGGCTTTGACATCATAATTAAAAAAACAAAATCAGTAGTTAAAACAGATGTCATAAAATGCACTAAAACTCACATACTACATTCAACTGAATGCTTTACACTTTTACTTATTCACATTTTTTTTCGTCCAAATCCTTTTGGCCAAGGAAAAATTTAAATAAATATGCTACTCTATAGCCACATTAACATTAAGAAGACAATTATCAGACTGACATCAAAGACAGTATGACAGAAAAATGAAAACAGCACAGTCACAGCAGCTGAGGACTATTTGGGATAATGGAAATTAATTTTGTATACTACAACAGAAGGCATCACTATTTTGTTATATGGCAAAAATAACTTATAATATGTGATCATGCCAAGTCAGCAATAAAAAAGTTAAACCAAGCAGAAAAAACACACGTTTTAGCAAGATTTCTAAGCAAAACAATGAGAAAAAGCAGTATGAGGTCTTATAAGGAGTAAGTTTTCTGTCATGTAAAAGCTCAGCCACTTCAGTTGAGTCTTTCCGATCCTACCTTCCTTCTGGGCCCAAATCAACCAGAGCACGTTTTGCACTCCTCCTATTTGCTTCCATAGCATCCTACACACCTCTATCATTTCACTAAGCACACTGTCTTATTTATCTACTGATATCTCTTCTTCTGGGCTCTGAGTGTAAGGGCAGAGACCATGTATTATTCATCCTTTAGCCCTAGAAAATAGCATAATATCTAGCATATATTAGATGCTTAGACAGGTTTGTTAAATACATGAATACATTTTGGATAACTCATCCTCCAGGTTTTTATTATATTCAGTTTATTATTTACCAAATTCCAGTGTTTCTCCAGTACAGTTCCGAGAGCAAACTAAATCAAAACCAATAGGAAGTTTGTTAAAAAATACAGATTCCTGGACTGTCCTTGAAGCTTCTGGGATGGGGCTCAAAAGTCTGTATATTTTTTTTAAGTTCCCTAGGTGATTCTGATACATGATTAAGTTTGGCAACCACTGCAGCACACCATTTTTTTCTCTAAATTATTTCAAGTATTTAATGTTGCCTCCTCTAAAAGACTATAACTCCTCTGAGAATAGCCACCATCCAATATAAATTTCTAGGCAGCATACCCTCTTAGCCTTGCATTGTACCAAACCCGTTAGCCAGCACCTTTCAGGCTATGCATATTCCCAAGCCAGACTGACTCACTCATCTATACTCTTCTCTACCACAAATTACCTTTCCTAGTCAAATCCTTTCCTGTTTCCTTCTGAAATCAGAAGATAAGGTGTCCTCCTTTCTTTCCAACTTAATTAATACTGGCTGAGTTTAACCTAATTCACATGGAATGAATCCCAATGACTTTAAATCAGTAGCTTACAGCTTGTAGTTATGACATCACATCTTTCATATGTGTGAGTAATCTCCAAGGGAAAGCCTGACATTATAACAAGTATTGCTCTTGACACAGTAAGTAGTACTTTGGTGCTATACTGAGAGCCCAACATGATGGGAGGTAACGCCAAACTATAAGAAGTGTGTTTTATATTTAAAGCAGGTCATTGAGGATCTGATACTTAAGAGTCACTGCAGACCTTACAGCTATACAATAAAGGATTTTCTTAACAGGAAGCAACAGTACAGCTGATCACCAAATGGAAAAAGGAATACTCCTCAACGATGCTGCCACTTTGGACCTTCTCATTTATTCAGCTTTTGACTTTTTCTTGAAAACAATATTAAGAGCTATGTACATAAAGTTTTGTTTCATTTGAAGAGTTCATTCATTGTAACTTTTAAAACGCAGAAACACATTTAGAAAGAAAATGACACACATCAAGAAAGAACAGTGGATATTGTAGATGCTAATAAGTTTGGTTCAGTATTTGTACCTGCAGAATCATTATTAAAGAGAGGAAGGGAGGTAGGAGGTCTTAGGAGGGAGTTGGTAACAAAGAGAGAAAGGTGAAAAAGACATACTAGGAGAATATACCACAGGAGCAGAAATTAATTTCTCTCATTCACTGCTATACTTCCAGTTCTTTGCACAGTGTCTGATACCAAGGAGGTATGCAACATATGTACTGAAGGAACAAATGAACAAATGAATAGTGTCAAGGTTACTGCTAACTGTCTCTTCCCTTCTGGTTACTGCTCTTTTGCCTTCAGTCAAGCTTAATGTTTTCTATTTTTAAAAAAGCCCTTCACTTTCCCTTCCATTCTGTAATCATTTGCTCCTTTATTTAATGTCTAAACTTTGTGAAAAACTGATTTAAACCTGTCTCTGTTTCCTCTCTGCCAGTCATATCATTTGGTTTCTGCCACAAATATTCCATTGCACTTTCATAGGTCAGCAGAGACTTTATCATCACCATATCCAGTATTTTTTTTCCTCTCTCAGTCCTCATATTGCTACTGTTTCAAACTAAAAATCAATCCCTCTATGGAGTTCTCCTCTCTCTTTGCTCTTGTAGTTCATTTTGGCTATCCTCTTACTTCTTTGATCAGTCTTTCTCTGACCCCTCTTTTCCCATTAACTCTCTAAATATACCCCAAGATTCTCCCCACCTTTTTCTAAATTTTCTCTTTTAGAAATTGCATCAGTTCTAGTGGTTCAGGATTATTTCTATAAATATGATTCCAACTCAGAATTGTCTTTTGAGCTTTAGCATTTCATTTCCAGGACAGCTCCAGTTGGCTAGCTCACAGATACCTCCTTTCACCATGTTTGTAACTGAACTTACTATTGTTTCCTTCTTTTTCACCTATAATATGGCCCTCTTCTTGGCGACAGTTCATCTAGCCACTTACTCAAGCCACCCATTCAATCATTAGTGTCTAGGATAATTTTACACTTACTTTCTTGAACTATTATAACACTTATTTTCTATATTAGTGCTGTCCCCATG